CTTCCAGACAGGCTGAAACGGTTCCTCTTGCCTTTGTCTGGTAAAGACTTTTAGAAGAAGTGAAGTCAGTTCCTTAAGAGCTTGTTAGATGTCCTGGGCGATAAGGCAGGATACGTAGTGGAACAGATTGTTCTTACCTGCTCGGTGCTCTCGCGCTGAGAAAAGTGGTTGAAGTTTCGGTTGTGCGTGTGGCGTGCCAGGTTATTACCTGCCTCTGAGCGTGTTACGCCGGCGGTGGGCGTTCAGGTCCAAAGGACTGCAGTTGTGAGGTTGAAAACAGTCGGTTTTCTCAGTTTGCGCAGCTGCTGCCCGGTAGGAAGCAGGAGAGGTGCAAGTCAGGGCCCTCTGCCACCAGTAGGTGGCACAGGCAGCAAGCGCTTGGCTGAAGAGGATGTGCAGCTGATTAAAAACTTGATGTGTTCACTCTAGAATACAGGTTTTTGGTTATTTTTCCAAAATTAAGCCTAAGAATGATTTGATGGAAGCTTCCTCTAGGTGATGTTTGGCGGCTTTCTGAGTTTTTATTTATAGTGAAGAACACTTGTGATACAACAGTGGCTGGCCCAGGGGCCGAATTACTTCTCTGGAGCTCGAGGTCAGGCTCGGGAGGATTAAAGCTGCTCTGACTGTCCTGATTTCGGGCCGGGTGGGGGCTGGCTTGGCTGCTGGCGCAGAGCCCGAACGCACTGATCGAAGCCTCGAGACTGCAGCCAAAATAATCGTAACACATATAATGACCATCACATTAAAATTACTTTCTTTGTTATGTGTGTGTGTTTGTGATATTACCTAGGAGATATGGATGGGTATGTTTCCTGTGCTGAGAATAGCGAGGCTCTCCGCCTCCAGAGGAAATCATTTCTTACGGTTCAACTGTTTTATTTACTTCAGCGTGTCATCTTGTTTTGTACTGTGACACCTCTTAAGTTCCACACTTAGCAAATGTGGAAGTGAATCTATTCTCTTAAAAGTAATTCTGGCCCTGGATTTAGACATTCTGTGCCAGTTACAGAAGCATTTGGATTCCCCTGAGCTGTTCCATTTTAGGCCTTGTCGATGTTGGAGGCTGTTCTGGGTTAATCGTGCGTGTGGATGCCAGTTCTGGAACACACTGAAGAGCGCTGGCGTGCGGGACTCACCAGAAGTAGATCCACGGATAGATAAACCTACAGCTTCGATCAAAAAAATCCCTTGGGAGGGAATGGATGCGTAAGATTGTTATTATTTTTCTTTTTTGGTTCTGTGGGATGCTCATACCAGTGGTAACTGGGCACTCTCGCTGGACAAGTAGTTCAGTCCTGTGGTTTCCCCACACTTGGTGGGCATAACTTGTCATCTCGTGTTCCTGGCCCCATACAAAATAAAAAAATGGGGAGAATTCACACAGAGTGAATGATAACACTTCCATGGTGGCAAGCTGAGCTCTAACTGTTGGCTTTTCACCTAAGTTTGTGATCTGAAAAGAGATGGAAACGTTCCTGCTTCACCTGGCGCATCTGTGCTGCAGCGTGGGCTGCTTTCCTTGATCTTCCTGCTCTCGTCAAAGCTTCGGTGTCACAGCTCTTGGCTCTTCACAAACCACTGCTGGTGGGCGTCGGGATGGCTGACAATTGGGAGCGATGCTCTGGAGCCGTGGGTGGAGGTACCACGTCCCGTTCACTGGTGAAAGGGAGCTGCTTGCTTTGCTTGGCTGTGACAGGATTGTGTGGAATTTCAGACAGGTGCCGCCAGAGACGCTGGGGTTGGGCCAGTCGAAATCAGGCAAACCTGGAGGGAGAAACTTTGGGTGAAGGAACCCCTCTTGGCTTTGTGACGGTGCTGCTCTGGGTTTTACAGACCTTTAGCCAACGGGATGTGGGGCTTGGATGGTTAGCATTAATTCACTTCGAGAAGAAACCTCTCACTGGACTAGAAACTCAAAGCTGTCCGAGTTTCAGCTTCTGTTTCACACAGGTGTCCCGGGAAGTTTCTCTCCGGCTGTGCAGACCTCTGTCTGGTCACAAGGAGTTGCTCTTTCATTACATACAGGTTATGTCATGGAGAGAACGGCGCTGGATAAATGGGCTGAATTCAGGTTAGAGAAACTGAGTTTGGGTGGATTAAAAACTTTAAAATAGAGTTGTTTGGGTTTTTTTTCCCTTGGGACTCCCAGGAGGGCAAGCAGAGAGGTGAAGCCAGCCAGGGGATGCTTGGAGCAGACAACTGGTGGCTGCACGTCGTGGTGGGTGAAAGCCTCAACCTTCACTTTGCCGGAGCCCCGCCAGGATATTCCCTTCTTACGTCACTGCTGAGCCCACTGGAAAACGCGTGGGCAGATGAGTTAAAAAGTTCGTTAATTCTCATAATATGTTATGCTGCTCAGTTATGTCGTTTTTGTTCATTGTGCTTTGGCGAGTTGTTGTGTGGTTTTGTTTCTTTGATTTTTTTTTTTTTTTTTCCCCTCTGAATTCTAGATTTAGGGGGGGAAAAATAGCAGAGGTGGAAGGAAACTTGAGCAGATTGGCATAAAAAAGTCTAATTTTGACGACTGTAGCTCAACCACTTGCTGATTGTTGGAGTTACGTCTGAAAGGCTTTATCTCCTCTGACCTGAGCGCTGGCTCTGACTGGGGTGAGGACTTTTTTATTTCTATTTTTTTTTTAACTCTAACTCGTGCTGAAACAGGCTGGGGACATCGAGGCGTGTTGGCAGGCTGGCTGCCTTAGGGGTAGCTGCTGGTCAGTCATCACCCGCAGGCAGGCAGGATGGAGAATCCCGTAAAATGGAGCAACAACTGCCCCCCCAAGCCCCCCAGCTCAGCCCCCGCAGCAGCTGGTGATGGTTGTGGCCTGTAGCCCCGGTTGGTTTGACCCAAGACACAGAAATAGAGCTGGAAGCAGGAACAAGCACCCAGGTCTTCCCCTTTGAGGAGGCGGCACAAACCACCAAAAGTCATGTTTGTGTCTCTTCCCCTCACCCAGGACCAGCGTGCTGGGCTCTGAGCTCTTGGGTTTTTTCTCCCACTGCCTTGGTGGAGGAGCAGAGGCTGTCCTCACAGACTAGCAAAGGATCTTTTCCTGATTAGGAGAGACAGGGATTCAAATCTGTGCTTAAATTAGGAGGAATTGAAACCTTCTCGGGCAAGGACTAGACTTGCAGGGAGGGGCAGCGACAGCCTTACCCCTTCCTCGTGTTTTAGAACCAGGCTATGCTTCAGGTAACTGCATCTTTTTTAAAAATCAGGGCGTTCATCAAACCATTTCGGACAGGATTTTCTCTTTTGTACTGGAGGGGGTTGAGTTTTTTTCTGTGCCACTGTGTTTTTTGGGTTTTTCTTTTACTGACTGAGGTCGGAGGAGCAGTGTCCAGCAGCTCTGTGCTCAGTGCTCTGTGAGCCTTTGTGGCCAGTGGAGCTGTTCTGGTGACGCTAATTTTTAGCCGCTCGCGGCAAAGTGAGAAAATAAACAGCAAAGTAAAAAGCATCAAAGTTTGCTGCTGGTGCAGCCTTAAGCAGAGCAGAGACACAGGCTGCAGAGAAAGGGGGAGCCTTCTCAGGATGTTGAGCAACGAGACAACAAAATATCAAATAAAATCTAGTGCTGATGGAAGAAAAGATGTGTACAGGGGAATGGAAAGAGGGGCAGGCACGTGCCCTCCCACTTGTGTAGCAGCCTTTGCTTGCAAGTGCAGTTTTGAGCCTCAACGTTGCAAGAAACCAAAAAAAGAATTAAAAAAACCCCCGAACCAAAATCCCCTGTCATGTCTCTTCTTGTGATGACAGAGACGCAACGGAAGCTGTGAGAAGCTGCACCCGAGGTGTGATGAAATCGGCTGGCGCCCGTTGTGGGCTCGGGGGTGGGGCTGTGGGGGAGTCGGTAGAAACAGGGGGGTGCTGCGGGGTTCAAAAATGGACCGAGAGCTCTGCCCCCACCCGGAACTGGGGCATCCTCAGTCGCCTCGTTTCGTGTGTAAGTACGACTTCCCAAAAAAGCTTGGTGCCGCTTCCGAACAGCTTCAGGTCGCCGAGCACCCCCGAGGCTTTGCCTGCATCGGCCCTGTTGCCCCGTGACGATTTTTTTTGACCCGACACCCGTTAAGCCTCACTCTGTTGGTGTCAAAAAGCCGGTTTAGCACAAAGCCCACCTGGCGAGGTTGTTGGCAGGGACCTCGAGGCTTCGCCCCTTGGCAGTGACAGCCCCCTCGGGGCAGAGGGGCTTCTTGAGCGACCAGAGGATGCGGACTAAAGGAGGTGTTTCGGGCTGGTTATTTTTACTCCCGGTCATATTCTCATTCAGATTTCTAATCCGGTGCTGCTGAGCAGATTTATTACTCTAAAGGTTTTCTGGAGGAAAGTTTTCTGTGGGAGTATTGGCTTCAGCTGGCTCCTAACGGAGAAGGGCAGGCAGAGCCAAGGCAAGTCTGGGTGAATAATCAGATCTTGCCTGGCATGGAACTGGATGGAAAAGCGCTCAGGTGGCAGTTGCTGTGGCATGGGCGTCCCTTGGCTCCTCCAAACCTCCCGTGTGCGCAGCGCCATCCCCACTTGAAGCTTTCTTGGCTGGGAGGATTGC